GGCGGGTGACTGCCGGGGATGCTGCCCATACCATGGTGGGATGGGGCGGGTAACTGCCAGGATGCTGCTACCAAAACCAGGTGGATGAGGCGGTAACTGCCGGGATCTGCTACCATCCAGGGTGGATAGGTGGTAACTGCCAGGATGCTGCACATCCATGGAGGATGGGGGCTGGTGACGCCAATGCTGCCCCATACCATGGTGGATGGGGCTGGTAACGCCAGGATGCTGCAAAATTTACCTGGTAAGAGGCTGGGACTGCCAGGATGCTGTACCTACCGGGTAGGATGAGGCGGGTAACTGCAGGATGCTGCTACCTACCATGGTAGGATGGGCGGTAACTGCCAGATGCTGCTTCCCTACCATGGTAGATGAGGTGGTGACGCCAGGATGCTGCTACCATACATGGTAGGATGGGCTGGTAACTGCCGATGCTGCTCCCCATAATGGTAGGAGGGGGTGGGACTGCCAGGATCTGTACCAAACCATGGTGGATGAGGCGGGTACTGCCAGATCTGCTACCAACAGGTGGGGATGAGGCTGGTAACTGCCGGATGCGCTACCATACCAGGTGGGATAGGCTGGTAACTGCCAATGTGTACCATACCATGGTACGATGAGGCTGGTGACTGCCAGGATGCTGCTACCAACCATGGGGATGGGGCGGGTGACGCCGGGTTTTGGCTACCATACCATGGTGGGATGAGGCTGTGACTGCCGGGATGCTGCTCCCAAACCTGGTAGGATGGGGCTGGAAAACTCCCCAGGATGCGCACCATACCAGGTAGGATGAGGCGGGTGACTGCCAGGATCGCTCCATACCATGGTAGGATGAGGCTGGACTCCCAAATGGCTCCCAACCCATGGTAGGAAGGCTGGTGGCTCCCAGGCTTACCATAACATGTTAGGATGAGGCTGGTGACTGCCAGGATGTGCTACCATACCGGGTAGGATGAGGCGGGGTGACTCCGGAGCTGCACCTTACCATGGTAGGATGAGGCGGGTGACTGCCAGGAAAGCGCTACCATCCCAGGGTAGGTGGGGCGGGTGGCTGCCGGATGCGCTACCATACCAGGTGGTGAGGCTGGTGACTGCCAGGATGCTGACCATAACATGTTAGGATAGGCTGGTGATGCCGGGTGTGTACCATACCAGGGTAGGATGAGGCGGGACTCCCAGGATGCTGCTCCCAAACCCCATGGAGGATAGGCTGGTGGCTGCCAGGAGTGCACCATACCAGTGGGATTGGGCGGGGATGCCGGATGCTCTACCATCCATGGTAGGATAGGCTGGTGCTGCCAGGATGCTCCCCTTTCCTGGTAGGATGAGGGGTACTCCCAGGATCTGACCATACCATGGTAGGATGAGGCTGGTGATCCCAGGAGCTGTCCCTTTCCTGGTGGGATAGGCTGGGATGCCAGGATGCTGTACCTTAACCATGGTGGGATGAGGTGGGCTGCCAGGATGTTCCCATTCCATGGGGGGATGGGCTGGTGGCTCCCAAGGATGCGCACCATTCCAGGTAGGAGAGGCTGGTGAGCCGGAGTGTCCCATACCTGGTAGGATGAGGCTGGTGACTGCCAGGATGCTGCTACCATTCCATGGTAGGATGAGGCTGGTGACTGCCAGGATGCTGCTACCATACCATGGTAGGATGAGGCTGGTGACTGCCGGAAATGCTGCTCCATTCGGTAGGTTTAGGCTGGTGATCCCGGGATGCTGCTCCCTTTCCAAAGGTGGGATGAGGCTGGTACTGCCGGATTGCTACCAAACCATGGTAGTGACTGGTGACGCCAGGAGCGCACCATCCCTGGTAATGAGGGGTGACTCCCAGGATGCTGCTACCATACCATGGTAGGATGAGGCTGGTGACTGCCAGGATGCTGCTACCATACCATGGTAGGATGAGGCTGGTGACTGCCAGGATGCTGCTACCATACCATGGTAGGATGAGGCTGGTGACTGCCAGGATGCTGCTACCATACCATGTTAGGATAGGCTGGGATGCCGGGATGCTGCTCCCCATACCATGGTAGGATGAGGCGGGTGACTGCCAGGATGGTCCTTTTCCAAAGGTGGGATAGGGGTGACTGCCAGGAGCTGTACCATTCCAGGTTGGGATGGGGCTGGTGACTGCCAGTGCTGCTACCAAACCAGGGTGGGATAGGTGGTGACGCCGGGATGGCTACCATTCCATGGTGGGTTTAGGCTGGTGCTCCCAGATGCGCTACCATACAGGGTAGGAGGGCGGGTGGCTGCCAGGAGCTGCTCCCTTTTCCATGGAGGTGGGCTTGTGACTGCCGGACTGCTACCATACCATGGGGATGGGCTGGTGACTCCCAGGATGCTGCTACCATTCCATGGTAGGTGGGGCTGGTGATCCCGGTGCTGCTACCATACCATGGTAGGTGGGGGCTGGTGACGCCAGGATGCTGTACCAACCAGGTAGGATGAGGCGGGTGCTCCCAGGATCGCTACCATACCATGGAGGATGAGGCGGTGACTGCCAGGATGTGACCATACCAGGTAGGATGAGGCTGGTGACTCCCGGATGCGCTACCAACCGGTAGGATGGGGGCTGGTGACTGCCAGGATGCGCACCATCCCATGAGGATGAGCTGGGGCGCTGGATGCTGCTACCATACCATGTGGGGGATGGGGCTGGTGACTGCCAGGATGCTGTACCATACCATGGTAGGATGAGGCTGGTAAATGCCGGAGTGCTACCATCCATGGTAGGAGAGGCGGGGCTGTGGATGCTGCTACCCACCATGATGTCAATTTGCCCTGATGGATATGTAGCCTACCCCCTTAAACCCTGCTCTTGTGAAGGGGATATGGAGAAGGATGAGAGAGAGAGTAGCAGAATAGGGAATTGAGAGAGAGAAAGAGGGTAAAGAAAAGGGAAATGTGACGGAAGAAAAGATAAGGACAGAAAGGTAAGGGAAGATACTAATATATGTATGTACATGGAGAACGTAGAAAGTGCATTAATACTCGTATAAATATAATACCACACACCCTCTTTAGGTATGAAATATACAAACACATAAAAATACTTAAACGGGCCGTACTTCATAGTTCACTTGTATATACATCTATACAAAAAACCCAACGTACGTATATGCGCGCAAATGCACAACAATTTCCGTGAATGAGACACAGTTCAAACGTGCATTCAATCACAAAAGCTACTATACGCCCTTGATGTACCATCATATTTAAAATCGTACATATACCCCAAAAAAAGCATACATAATATCCGTACACTAAATACACACATGGGGCGTTCGTATGTACTTACCGGGACAGAGATATATCAAGGAAAATGGGAAATGAAAACCAGAAGTTTGGGGGAAAAAAAAAGTGGAGGAATGAAGAGAAAGAGGGAGAGACGTAGTGAAAGTACTGTAGTAGAGAAAGGAGACATATGAAAGTAGTTTTAGCAGCTTGAGGCACCCACAAGTTGCATTACCATTGGTGATGGGGAGGGGGGGGGGCGGCATGCCCCTGGGGGGGTGGTTTTCTTAAGGGGTGGCTTTCCCCGAGGTGGGCGGCTTGTCCAGAGTGGGTGGGGGGGCTTTTCCCAAGGGGGTAACTAGCTCCAGGGTGGACGGCTTCCCCCAGGATAGGCAGCTTGCTCCGGGGTGGGCGGCTTGCCCTAGGGTGGGCGGCTTTTCCGTATTATCTTTGACTTTTGGACTCATATTAGTCATTATTATTATTATTTTTATTATTAATTATTATGGTTGCCTGATTTTTTCTAAAACTTTTTATTTCTTGAGAACTTCTCATCCAACTGGCTTCAAACTTTCGTGGCTGATATACTGTGACATAAAGGGAAGGGTCATGTAGCTATTGTCACGTGCAGGTGACCTCTGGTCACTATCATGTGGAATTCCTGGTGTCGACCTCCGTGGGATAACCTTAGAAAGCCTAGGCTGTTTGGCTTCAAAAAATCCGCGCTGATGTATTGAAGTGCCGAATAGGTAAAACTGGTCAATTAGCAAGAACTCATTTGAAATTAAGCTTTTTGTAAAGCTTTCTTGTATGTTTAATTTTTTTTTCATTTATGTAATGTAAAAATTAGTAATTTTATACCAATAGTACCTTAGAAAACTTACCTGACCTTATAACAAACTTAATTTAACCTAATCCAACTAAATATATTTTAGATAAGTTTATAGTAATTTAATAATAAACACAATGAAATGTATTTGTTTTCGTTAGGTTTGGAATTATTTTTGCGAAATTATTGCATACACAAATTTTCACTTGTCTTATTCGGCAAGAAGAAGCGTTGCTATTTAAGCCAAAATAGCAAGTTTTACCTATTAGACACGAAATTATATATATATATATATATATATATTATATAAATATATATATATATATATATATTATATATATATATATATATATATATATATAATATTTCAAGATAGGCTGGAAATCTTCAGTTCAAGATCTTTCATGTCTCCATGCATCATCAGAAGCTATGGAGTGTTGAAAGAGTAACAACAGGTGGAAGAATAAAGAGTAAGATAGCGTGGTGACACCGACCAATTTGTTTCAGTAACAAAGTCGCCATGAACGTGAGTGCAGGTAAACCTTGCGAGAGGTTTAGTTGCACTGACAGGGGCGAGTTTTAGGTTATAGGACATTCCATCATTTTAATTTGGGGGCGGCGCCCCCGCGAGGGCTGCTTATGGCACATTTTAAAGCTCTTTTATACTGATTTCAGAAAGAAAAACAGCCTTCCAAAAATTTTAATTTGGGGGCGGCGCCCCCGTGGGGGCTGACTCTGTAATATTGAATGACAAATCCTTTTGAGCCCCCCTGTTTTTTTTTACTGTTTTAAAATGTGAAACGGCGGAATTTATATTTTAGGTGCGGCGCCCCCTGGGAATTATTGATTTTTGGTTGCACTGTGCTGAGTGACACATTTTTGGTAACACTGTTAAGCACATTTTTTGGCATCATTGTTAAGTACATCATTTTTGGCATCACTGTTAAGAAGCACATCATTTTTGGCATCACTGTTGAAAAGAACATTTTTGGCATCACTGCTAAGAAGCACATCATTTTTGGCATCACTGTTGAAAAGAACATCATTTTTGGCATCACTGCTAAGAAGCACATCATTTTTGGCATCACTGTTGAGAGCACATCATTCCAAAGTTCCTCTCTATACCAATCTGAAAAATTTGTACATTTCAGAATGTCTTTTATTTTTCATTATGACCCTTTTGTCCACTTCCAGTGGGGAGGATTTACAATCGAGGCCTGGTCATGGACCGGGCCGCGGGGGCGTTGACCCCCCGAACACCCTCCCGTTGACCTATTCTGACCTAGTCAAATTATATCTTAGAATTAGTACAACTATGAGGTGCTGTACACGTTGGGGGTCATACAGAACTTGGAGGAAAGGGGGGTGTAGGAAATAATGAGGTTTGAGTGTAGGAAAATGGGGGATATCCTATTTCTGTGGTCGTGAGTCCTTCAAGAATATGAGGGGACAGTGTGTTGGAACTTGTTAAGTTTACCCTGGAAGACAACCACGAGGTGTTAAAAGTGTGCTCAGCAGCCTTGGTCCACTTAAGCTGAAGATAAATCTTATCTTACTTTTGCTCACTTTAACTGTTGAGGAATTTCTCTCTCTCTCTCTCTCTCTCTCTCTCTCTCTCTCTCTCTCTCTCTCTCTCTCTCTCTCTCACACACACACACATTCTGTCTCAAGGATACTACAATTCATGCTACTTGTGTACATTCTAATATCTCTGATTTACCTTAACTCGCTTCAGAATCTGTCTTGAACCATATTTTAGTATAGCTACCATTGTTTGTAATGGAAGATGTGAAAATAAAAATCCTGAAGGAGTATGACTCGAGAGCAATACATCAGTATGGGATATAATCCTCCATATTTTGTGCCCTAGGCAAGCATCTCCTGCCTTAACCTTGTAAGATGTTACATATATATATCAGGGTAGCCACACAACGCTGGGTAACCAGTTCTGACGGAGGCACAAAAAAAAAAAGACAGATCTCTCTCTCTCCTGGTGTTGAAGGCTTACAGAAATGACAGGTCCTTCCAGATCCGGTCGTGGCGATAGTCTCCTTGGCCGGTCTTCTTTTTGTTTCCTTTCTCAGTTTCTCCTTCCTTCTCCTCGCTGTCATTATATTGATAGTATGTAATGTCGATAACTAGACGAATAAGATACATGTGCAATACGTGGATATTTTTAGTGCTAAAACGCGTCTTATTCTGTCACTGCCCTCAACTTCGTTAGTTTATTTTGAAAAAGAGAAAGTATCCTAAATTTACTCATAACTGATAAAATATAATTTTTAAATGTGTGTTCCTGTTGATCCGTTTTCGAGTCTAGGCCCTTTGTTTATTTATATACCTTGGACGACTGTGCACAGGATGGACAGGGAGTGCACGATAAACTAACCACTGTCGTCCACTGGATGGGTAACAGGTGCACAATAAACCAGCCTCTGCCGTCCACTGGACAGATATGAGGTGCACAGTCACCAGCCTCTGCCGTCCACTGGACAGATATGAGGTGCACAGTCACCAGCCTCTGCCGTCCACTGGACAGATATGAGGTGCACAATCACCAGCCTCTGCCATCCACTGGACAGATATGAGGTGCACAATCACCAGCCTCTGCCATCCACTGGACAGATATGAGGTACACAATCACCAGCCTCTGCCATCCACTGGACAGATATGAGGTGCATAATCACCAGCCTCTGCCGTCCACTGGACAGATATGAGGTGCACAATCACCAGCCTCTGCCATCCACTGGACAGATATGAGGTGCACAATCACCAGCCTCTGCCATCCACTGGACAGATATGAGGTGCACAATCACCACCTTTGCCACCACTGGACGATATGAACACAACCCAAACCCCCCCCCCCCCAAAAAACCCCCCCCCCCCCCCCCCCCAACCCCCCCCACCCCCAACCCCAAAAATTTATTTTTAAAAACCACCCCCCCAAAAAACCCCCCCCCCCCCCCCACAAACCCCCCCCCCCCAAAAAAAAAACCCCCCCCCCCCCTACCCCCACTACCCCCATTTCCCCCCCCCCCCCCCCCCAACCACTACTACTACTCCCCAAACCCCCCCCTTACCCCCACCCCCAACCCCCACTACAACCCCCCCCCAAACCCCTACCCCAAAACCCCCCCCCCCCCCCAAAAAACCCCCCCCCCCCCCAATTTCAAAAACCCCCCCCCCCCCCCCCCCCCCCCCCCCCCCTTTTTACCCCCCCCAACCCCCACCACCACCCCCCCCAAAAATTTTCCCCCCCTACTACTACCCCCCCCCCTTTTTCCCCCCCCCCCCCAAAAACCACCACCACCCCCACTACTACCCCCACCCCCCCCCAAAAAACCCATACCCCCCCCAAAAATTTTCCCACCACCCCCAAAAAAAAAACCCCCCCCCCACACCCCCCCCCTTCCCAAAAAAAAAAACCCCCCCCCCCCAAAACTTTTCCCCCCCCCCCCCCCCCCCCTTTCCCCCCCCCCCCCCCCCCCCCCCCCCCCAAATTTTTTTTTTCCCCCCCCCCCCCAAAAACCCCCCTTTTTTTAAAAACCCCCCAAAAATTTTTTTCCCCCCCCAAAATAAAAATTTCCCAATTTTTAACCTTTTTTTGGGAACATTTTTTTTGGTTTTTTTTTAAAAAAAAGGGGAAAATTTTTTTTTTTTTTTTTTGGGGGGTTTTTTAAAAAACCCCTTTTTTCCCCCCAAAAGGGGGTTTTCCCCCGGGGCCCCTTTTTTGGGGGTTTTCCCCCCCAACTTTTGGGGGCCACCCCCAAAAAAAAAATTTTTTTTTTCCCCCAACCCCCCCGGGGGGGGGGGGCCCCCCCCCCCCTTTCGGGGCCCTTTGGGAGGGGGGGGGGGGTTTTAAAAGGAAAAATTTTTTTTTTTTTTTTTCCCCCCCTTTTTTTAAAAAAAAAATTTTTGGGGGCCCCCCCCCAAAAAAAAAAAAAGGGGGGGGGGGGTTTTTTTTTTAAAAGGGGTTTTTTTTTTTCCCTTTTTTTTTTTTGGGCCCTTTTGGGGGAAAAGGGAAAAAAAAAAAAGGGGTTTTTTGAAAAAATTTTTAAAATTTTTTTTTTAAAAAAAATTTTTAAAATTTTTTTAAAAAAATTTTTTTAAAAATTTTCCCCCTTTTCCCCAAAAAAAAAAAAAAATTTTTTTTTAAATTAAATTTTTTGGGCCCCCCCCCAAAAAAAAAAACCCCCCTTTTTTTTTAAAATTCCTTTAAAATTTTTTTTTTTTTTTAAAAAAAAAAAAAAAAATTTTTTTCTTTTTTTTTTTTTCCCCCTTTAAATTTTTTAGCCCCCCCCTTTTTTTGGGGGGGGGGGTTTTTTTTTGGGGGTTTTTTGGGGGGGGGGGGGAAAAATTTTTTTTTTGGGGGTTTTTTTGGGGGAAAAGGGGGGGTTTGGGGGGGGGGGGGGGTTTTTTGGGGGGGGAAAGGGGGGGGGGTTTTCCCCCCCCCCCCCCCCCCCCCCCCCCCCCCCCCCCCAAAAACCCCCCCCCCCCCCCCCCCCCCCCCCCCCCTTTTGGTGGGGGGGTTGGGTTTTGGGGGGGGGGTTTTTTTTTTTGGGGGTTTTTGGTTTGGGGGGGGAAAAAGGGGGGGGGAAAAAATTTTGGGGGGGTTTTTTGGGGGGGCCCCAAAAGGGGGGGGGGGTTTTTTTGGGGGGGGGTTTATTTTTTGGGTAACCCCCCGGGTTTTTTTCCCCCCAAAAAATTGGGGGGCGGGGGGGGGGAAAAGGTTTGTTTTTGGGGGGGGGGGTTTTTTTTTTTAAAGGGGGTTTTTTTTTTCCCTTCCCCCCCCCCCCCCGGGGGGGGTTTTAAAATTTTTTGGGTTTTTCTTTTTTTTTTGTTTTTTTTTTGGGGGGGGTTTTTTCCCCCTTTTTTTGGGGGGGGGGTTTTTTTTTTTTTTTTTTTTTTTTTGGGTTTTAAAGGGGGTTTTGGGTTTGTTTTTTTCCCCTTGTTTTTTCCCCGGGGTTTGGGTTGTGGGGGGGGGGGGTTTTTTTTTGGGGGGGGTTTTCCCGGGGGGGGTTTTTTGGGGGGGGGGTTTTGGGGTGGGGGGGGGGGGGGGGGGTTTTTTGGGGGGGGGGGGGGAGGGGAAAAAGGGGGGGGGGGGTTTTTTTTTTGGGGGGGGGTTTTTTGGGGGGGTGGGGGGGGTTGGGGGGGAAAAAAGGGGGGGGGGGGGTTTGGGGCGGGGGGGGGGGAAAGGGGGGGGGGGGGGGGGGTTTTTTGGGGGGGGGGTTTGGGGGGGGGGGGAAAGGGGGGGGGGGGGGGGGGGAAAAAGGGGGGGGTGGGGGGGAAATTTTTTAAAAGGGGGGGGGGGGTTTAAGGGGTGTTTTGGGGTTTTGGGGGGGGGGGTTTTTTTGGGGGGGGGGGGGGGTTTTTTTTTTGGGGGGGTTTTTTGGGGGGGGTTTTTTTTTTTTTTCCTAAGGGGGGGGGGGGTTTTTTGGGGAAAAAATTTTAATTGTGTTTTTTTTTTTGGGGTTTGGGGGGGGTTTTTTGGGGTTTTTTTTTTTGGGGGTTTTAAACCCCCCCCCCCCCAAAAAAAAAAAAAAAATTTTTTTTTTTTTTTGGGGGGGGGGTTTTTAGTGATTTGGGGGTTTTTGGGTTTTTTTTTTTTTTTGGGGGTGAGCCCGGGGGGGGTTTTTCCTTTGTTTTTGGGGTTTTTTTTTTGGGGGTTTTTTTTTGGGGGGTGGGGGGGGGGGGGGGTTTTTTTTTTTAAAATTTTTTTTCCCGGGTTTGGGGGGGTTGGGGGTTTTTTGGGGAAAGGTTTTTTTTTTGGGGGGTTTTTTTTTTTGGGGGGGGGGGAATTTTTGGTTTTTGGGGTTTTTGTGGGGGGGGGTTTTTTTTTTTGGTTTTGGGGGGGGTTATGGGATTGGGTTTTTTTTTTGGGGGGGTTTTTGGTGGGGGGGGGGGGGTTTTTTTGTGGGGGGGTTAAATTTGGGGGGTTTTTTCCCCCCCCTTTTTTTTGTTTTGGGTGGGGGGGGGGGGGGGGGTTTTTGGGGGTTTGGGGGG